GGCTGGAATCACAACTAGCAGGAGCAGCCCAATATTTTGGGGTTGCAAAAGTGGACCCCGAAAGTCATTCTCGCACGAATAGCACAAGAATACTACAAAAACGCCAAGTTTCTAAAGGATAATTGTGTAACTATGTATATATCCTACTTTTAAATGTTCTTTTCTATAAACATCATTTCATTCAAAATGCATTTTGTAGCCCAATTGGGCGTATTCCAGGATGCAGTATCCCTTTAATTCAGAGTTCTTTTCATATCTTATAATAGGTTTGGTAAGTCATGGATGTATGCGTACATATGGTGTGTATATAGTTGAATAAAATGTGTGACGTCATAATGACAGAAATCATCAAACAAGTCAGGTGTGTTAACAAACACAAATGCCCCGCAACCGTGACTGTTCCCATGACATAACACCACTCTTTTAGCATCAACTTACATGTACCGTGGTCACATGGAACGTTCATTGACAGCATTAGTGTTTTCTGTAGGTTTTATATGAATTAATCTTATGATCTTAGAATAACTACAAGATTTCTATTGTTTTACCTTGATCCTTGACCTTTCGGCCCCAAATGCTTTAGGCTTCTTAGGATTGCCAAGAACAATACACAAACCAAATTTGAAGTTCATAGGTTAAGTATTTCTCAAGTTATTGCGCCGAGAAGATTTATCCTAGTTTTTGAGTAAATAGTTTCACACTCAGTTTAATCAGCAATGTCTTATCTTAGCAAGTCTTAGAAGTCTCCCGTTATGATTTGTACCTTTTAATTTACAATTTAAAGATGTATTGATTGTATTTTAGGTAGTTTTAACTAAAATACCCGTTGTAAGTTTGAATGTTTTCAGCCTGTTGGCTTCTTTTAATTCAAATAAATGTTTATTTATTTAGTAATAATATTATCTTTTTCGAGAAAAACTTGTGGGGTACCAAAACGGTACCCTGCAAGTCGGTGGGCATTCCGTGTGGGGTACCTCCCATTGTTCATAAGCAGTGTTAATACGTTCACCCACACACGCAAGTTTATTTGTTTTACATTGTTTGTGGACATTCCTTTGTTTTCGTGTAGTAACTCGGTACAAAAAAATAACTTTTCCTAAACTGTGAAAACTCTTTCAACCCCAAATTTGTTAATTTTTTGATTTCCTTGAATGTTTCTCTTCTTTCGCGACTAATAGCCCTAACCCGAAAACCCCTCTAAACCTGTTTTCCAGAGGGGGCGAAACGTTATGTGGACACGACTTAGTCCACTTAACGTCAACACAATCTGCAATGAACATCTTTTGTTCACATGTCCCCATAGTGACTGTAAGACAAACTCTAGCACGTTTGTTTTATGGTGTAGATTCGAGGGTTTTCTTTTGTTCTCTTTTCCTTTGTTTGTACCTCAATTCGCAACAGCTCTCATTGATTTTGTAAACGTTTTCCAACTGAGGAGTCCTCGATTCGGTTTCTGACCTCGATTCAACGAAGATGTTGCACGTTTGTATCCTTGATTTGCACCATAAACAAACGTGCGCACACATCAGTGTGAATTTGCCTGCAATCGGAAAACCCCCTATTGTCCCTTTTGTTTGTACTCAAACTGTTTAGGAAGACCTCCTATATGTTTTGTACACACCGGGAATTGGGGATCTCTCATGAATTGTACTAAAGTTTTCGAGTTTGAAATTGTACTTTCCAAATGCTCCCATTTTAACCAGGATTTATTTCTTCCTGGGCTGAAATTTGGGCTTTATACCCTTTACATAAAATACTTTGCGACGTACTGACACATCTGGGAAGTTCCTAGTTTTTGAGTAAAATCCATATTTCGTGAAAACCTTGTGGAGACGTATTCACCTATAGACATTTTCCTGTGGAGACATATACAAACTTTTGATCCCTATTGTGCATGTCCACAGCGGGTACCGTGTACTAGATCACTTCCACATCCAGACATGTTTAGGTTACATACTTAGAGTGGACGTTCCTTTGTTTTCGTGTAGATAAAGAAAATCCTGTGAAAAAAAAAAATTACTCACACTGTGAAAACTCTTTCAACCCAATTTTTTTCTACGATTCCCTTTAGTGCTTCTCTTCATTTTGCCACCGATAAAAAGCCTAACTCAAAAATGCCTCTAAACCTGTTTTCGAGAGGGAGAAATCTTTTGTGGACTTTGGCAAAACTGGTGGTCTGTGAACATCTTTTGTTTGGAAGTCTACACAGTGAATGTAATGCTCAACTCAAAAATAAATAGAAAAAAAAAAAAGATTTTTTTTTCCAGATTAAGAAACATTAAGAAACCAGAAACAAACAAAAAACAGTGGTGCAATACAAAATATTGTTCGCCATACCCTCTTAACCTTTATGCGCACTTTTTTTTAATGCCAGCCCAATTTTTGAGTATCATATGACGTCATTAGAAGTCATAAATGCGCTTGCGTTAAGAAGTTGTTCTTAAAGTGTACAAAACACTAGTAAACACTTTGGTAACACTAGTAAACAGTGTTATGCTCCCGGAAATCGTTGCGTTATATATCCTCAGTACAGGGGGTGATTACTGTACCATGACATGACAGCTTGGCTCAGTGAGAAGGAGAATCTGCTATATGCGCTAGGTCGATTTGCTATACAACAAATGTACTAGTATTATTTGAGCACCATGTGCTGTAGAACGGACAGCATTCGAAAAATCCCTATTTTAGCAGCGTTTTGGGCTCACCGTTTGAGGGCCAATTCAATTAAGAGGCCATCCGAGTTGGGACAATAGGCTATTTCAAAATAAAAGAATGCACACATAGGATAAGTTGTAACTTATAGATTCAGTGCGAGGCAATGACTGTTAAAATGTTAAACATTTCATCAATTACCTCGATGTTCGTACACAGATGCTCACATAAAAACCGAAGCGAACTTTATACAAGTAGATTCGAACGCTCCTTTGGCTCCGTGCGTTTTTTGACTACATGTACTTTGAAAAAAATCCGGTATACTTGGGAAACACGGTGTGCCGTTCTGGTACAGGCGCGTATAAAGTACATGCACATGTAACCGAGTCTCGCAGCGCATTTTTCGTCGCCAAGAGACAAGGCGTAACCTAATGGAAAATGATGGACAGTAAAACCAAACGTCTAGGAGCTTGTTGGGCAAGTTGTCTGCAGCGTTGACATTGACCTCTAGTAGTACGTTCAGGTTAAGATACCTTTATAGACTGCGATACATGAGCGCCGTGGGGTTTGACGCTGACAGGCCTTGTTAGGGAATTTACTCCACAAAAACGAAACTAGTGGCATCATCTGCGGATTTCTCCAAAAGTTTTAAGTCTAGAGCCTTGCCGATTTGCATGCTGGTTGGCCTATTCATCCGCTTTCCAACAGTATAAAGTTTGTCCAGAACCATCCATGTTAAGGTACCTTTAGGCTGCGATACATGAGAGCCGTACGGGTCGGCGCTGAACGGCCTTGTTTGGAAATTTACTGTACAACAAAAACAACGAAACTAGTGGCATATCTGCGGTTTTCTTAAAAAGTTTTAAGTCCAAAGCAAACCTGCTTCGTTGATGTACAGGCGCCACTTAATTAATTAATCCTATTAAGGTGATTGGTGTACAAATAAATCAATACTCCAATCAACCCTCAAGTTTGAGTGTCCTTGTCTTGGAACTTCAGGCTCCAGTCCCATCCCCCTTCCCCTGAGTCCAGCCTAGGTACGTACACCCAGTAGTGTGAAAGGAAGCCGCTGCGAGCGCGTGGCGGTAGACTTCCAAAACAGACCTGTTTCACCGGGCTTCCCTACAACCGCTCGTTGGGTCGTCAGAGGGCAATCCCAGGCTACGTCGACGCAGGCCGCCACAAATGGTGTCAAAAGTGGGATAGGTGCCGCAGTAAACTTCTTGACACACTACCGTAAACACCTACCTAGGAACATCACCTGGCAAGGCAAGATGGCGAAGAATTTATTGATTTACTTTGAAGAAGCCAAAACAGGGAGAAGAAGACGGACTTCCGTCCACAAAAACATCTCATCTTGAGATGGAAGAGAAAATTGAGCTGCTGGAGACAGAGCAGGAATTGGAAGGAGGACTCGGGCTTCGGAGGGTCAGCGCACACGCCGTTGACAAAACACATTTTTGTAATGGCTCGACTGGGGATTTAATTACGCCTATTCTCCCATCCCGTGTGAGGCCGACTCCAAAACCACGCACGAGAAATACTTCTCGTGCGTGGTTTTGGAGTTACAGATCAGTGCAGAGCAAAGAGCCAGGAGAACTCTCTGTTCTGTGCTTTGTACTCTGCATCCTTTACTACACCGTATTCTGTACTCCTCATTTTGTAATGCTGTACGCATCGCTGTGCTACTCTCTTTTCTCCTCGCTCATTGCTCCCGTACTCCTTGCCGAGTATGGATCAAAGAGCCCCCGTCTGTATACTGTGTAGATACAACCGCCGTGCACTCTGCACTCCTCACTCCCTACTCTGTTCTTTGTATTTTCTCGATCTATACTCTGTGGTCCACACTCTTTACCATGTACTTCTGGACTGCTCACTTTCTGCTCTGTACTCTGCTATTTGCACATAGCAAGTTGAACTGTAACTATTACAACGTACACCCGTACTGTGTAGTCTGTGTTCTCTGCTCCGCATTTCTGCACTCCTCACTTTGTGTTCTGTAATTTGCAATCTGCACGGTGCACACAGCACATATAGATGTGCTGTGTGCCCGTACATGTACTTGTTCTGTGTTTGTAATCAGTACTTCGTGATTTCTGCTCTGCACTCTGCAATCTGTACACTTCAACTCTCGTTCCTCGATCTGTACTCCTTTACTCCTCACTGTCTTTACCCTTTAACTCTTCACGCCGAATTCTGAGCTCTCAATTTTAAACGGTTAACTTATCTCTGAAATATGAAATTTGAGTTTAAATTTCATATTTCAGATGAGTACCCATTCTTTTGAACAAAAGTTCACTGATTTGTGTTAAATGATATCAAAAAAATCCGACACACTAACCTTTGAACTCATTTGCAAGAAGTAATTTTATTTTAATCTACAAGCAAAAAAAATGCACTTTTATCAGTTCAAACGGAAATAAAGAAACTCAACTGAGTAGTTATATAACTTTAAAATAGTACAATAAATTTAAAAACTATGATAATAACTTGAAAAGCTTGTTCTTTGCTATTCCACGCTCTCCTTGTTTTCTAAAATAATTGGCTCGCATGAGCTGTTAGTATCAGGGATTATCAAAAGTATCGTGATATCAACAAAAATATCATTTATGTTTTTGTAAATTTATTTGATGCTGCTTGTAACACTCACAACCTCGTGAAGGAACGTGAGAAAAATCTATTATAATTTGCTGACGAATAAACTAAAAGGAGTCATGTGGCGATGCGGTTTGGATGGGATAGAATCTTATTTGATCCTAGGTTGTGCAGGACAACTAGGGAGGATATAGAGGACACAATGACTTCAAGGTACGAGACTGATTGGGGAAACTTGTTCTAGTTGGTGAGAAGTGGCGCAGACAATTCGATCTGCCAAAAGACCCGAGACGTAATGACATAATGGCTTTGTTTACATATGCGCTTTTTTTATGGGATCTCTCCCAGATAAAGTGGGGAACTGTCTACTACATAGCACATGTGAACATGTTTGAAAAACAAAATCGTCATAAACGACCCACATCTTAATGAGAGCATCCTTTAGAAGAACTAGTTAGTAAACAAACAAAAACACTAATGAAACTCTCATTCTTTCTTAATTGAAAAAAATTGAAAACAAAAATTACATCGGTGTAAATAAAGTCAACTTCAAAACATTCGCATGCATTTTTTGCATTGGTAATTTAATTGATATGGTTTGTTTACAGAAACCTGTCAATTGAAGAGAACCTGCAGTGGTTAATTATGTTTTACCGATTCTTAATTGAAGGACAAGAAAGCAAATTTGAAACATAACTAATCAAGCAAAAAATGCAGATCTAGCAAAGATTTAAAACAATTTCTTTTCAATCTGATGTCATATAGTATTCATTTAACTCTCAGGCTTCATTATACAAATATATAACTAAACATGCGCGGCACAGCCTTTCTTTCGGTAATGCTGCTAGTTTGACAAGATGGATGATATTTACTGTACTCTTAATTAACAATAGTTGAGAGAATGACTCGTCATTCGAATGAGTCGAAATTATTGATCATGACTTTATACTTTCAAAGTCGCGATTTATTGTTAAGATTAAAAGAACATGACAAATGAAGGCTGTTCAGAAAAATATAACAAGGTTAATTGACTCCCTCCTAAGGAAAAACGATGCGGTTGGCAATCAGCGTTTCCATCGGATCATATTCGCATGAGCTGCACGAGCAAGCTTTTATCTCATAATATGGGTGGACAAACTGGGTCCCGTTGTTGCACTTCATCGTGACGTAATTCTGCTCAAGTTTTGAGGGTTTGCAGCAGCCGCAGTTGAACTTGATGTTGGGGTATGGCAACATGGTCACACGGGTGTTGGAGCCGCAGGTGCCCTCACAATCCGTGTACGGGATGCGTCCCTCAGACAAGCATTCGTCAATTACAACGTAGTTGGGATGCTTGCGAAAGAAGCAGTCCTCCTCATTCGGAACTGTATTATAAGAAAAAAGCAAGGTCAAGTACAGAAATAAGTCATGTTTTGAAAAGATGCCAATTTACACTTGCTAAGTGAGATTAGTCAAACACCAATTTGGTTTCCATCTGCAATCGGTTTCCATCGACGTTGGAGCGTGCTCCAATGGCCATGTCGATTGGCGAGGTTCAATTGACATGGCCATGGAGTACGCTCCAACGTCGGGTTGTTGCTACAAGCCAGTAGGAAAGCAAGCTCAATTGACAGGTATACTTGTTTGCCTAATTAGTCATACGGGGTTTGTGAAACGGTTCCTAGAAGTGGGAGGGCTCTGAATCAACATTTTGCTTACAGTTTGGTTGTTAGACAATGAGGATCCATCAGTAAACCCTATATAAACAAATGACTATGGCTAATAAATCTGGACTTGGAAGGGGGGAATGACTCCATGCGTTTTCTCGCCCTGTCAGAAGGGATGTTTGGTGATGGTTGGTGAGTTGGTCTGCATGTAGGGCGAGTTGGTCCGAGCATGCGTTGTATAAATATCGTGGAAAGCTTGCTTTCTTTCTTTATTCTTCCGAAAGAAAATTCTTTTCTTTACTTTATCTTTCATGTGAAGAGTAATAAGAACACAAGTACACAATTTTGGAGTTTTATTGGTAGAAAGAGACGCCTACCTCGCTGTATACTATACTTCCCACATCACAGAAGTTACAGGCACGTCACAACAACTGCGTACTTTGCTGTATTATCTGCTTCCACATTACAACAGTTACACATCACAACGCGAGCATAAGTTGTTGAAACAAGTTTACTGTAGTGGTTTCGAAATTTACTTGTATAAAAATTACATTTATAAACGATTTAAATTAATTATATGATTTAATCAATTAATTAGGATCTTAAGAAAACTATACAATAAAGCATAAAGGTCTTCAAATTAATCATGTAGCTCTGGGGGGAAAATCTGAGTGCAAATCCAGGTTGCTTCTCAAAAAAATATACATATATAATTTTTGTTTATTTTGATATTGAGGACAAAGATGTAATTAAAATCTTACAAATAATTCTGTTTTTGTAGAGCGACAACATCATGCTGTATTAACTGTGGTAGATAAATCGACGGTTATTATTACAGGGGGTAAACAGGTATCACAAGTCCCAAGTTCCCCCCTAACATTATTCTTAATTAATGAAATAGAAATGCACGATTTCAACAATATCCCTAATGCAAATGACAGAGGGCACTCTTCACAGCCCATCTTGTGAGAAAATGATAGAAATCCAATCACGCATACCAACACGGAGCTTTTTGAAATTTCCCGTGTAAAAACAAGAGTCTCTACTTGGAAGATGAAGAACAAGAAAACCAATTTCAAAAACGGTACACTTAATTTGCATTTTCTTTGTCATCTTTGCATTAAAAGGTCTGCAATTATCTGTTAGATAACCAAGATTGCGTAAGATTTAGATAAACATCCTTTTAAACAAGGAAACTTTTGTAAGGTAAAGTTATTAATTAATGAAAGTCTACCCTGCTTTGCAGGATCACTCAAACCAGTACATTGGAGCAATGCTATTTACTGCAACTTTTTAATTTGGCACTTTTTTTCATTCAAATGAGCTCCGTGTTGGTATGCGTGATTGGATTGCTATCATTTTCTCACAAGATGGGCAGAAGAGTGCCCTCTGTCATTTGCATTTGGGATATTGTTGAAATCGTGCATTTCTATTTCATTAATTAGGAATAATGTTGGGGGGGGACTCAGGACTTGTGATACCTGTATATTATGATTATCGCATTATTACTATTATTATTTAAAAGTATCAAAAGTACAAGTCATCTATTGTTTTTCCAACAATGACTTGAGCAGACAGGTTAAATAAACTGTTCATAATACAAAATCGTGTCAAGTATCCCAAAAATGGTAACAAGGATTAGGTAATGTTCGAACATGTACTGTTGCTAAATCCCAAAACCGTAGATGGAATTAAACTAGTGTTCTCATCTACCTCAATATATGCATTCCTTGTTTTTTTCGGAGGACCATCTGCCGTGTTTGAAAATGAGATGGGATGGCACCAGAGCGTTCGAAAGCTGCCGAAGCTGCCGAAGCGCCTCCGGATCTGAGACTATGGAGTCCGAATTTGCTGATATCAGGAACAAAGGGGCGAAGTGCTTGTAAAACAATTTTGCGGGTCCTAGTGTAGCTTAAGCTGTGAACGGTGGCCATCAAGCCTTTAGCTGAACTTGTAATTCGATGTACGACTGACAGTGATGAATCTACCGGGTCACCTATGGCAGAGAAATACCTCTCAGCAATTTTGACTGGGCATGTAGAAGTTGGTGTTTTACAGTCTACACGCCGGACGTTATTGAGATCGCTGAAACGAAGAAATCCAGCATAGCAGAAGAAACAAATAAATAGGTTCTAAAACAGGTTCTTTCCGATTGGGGGGTTGAAGCCAGAGAATGTCTATAACCTTGAAGTGCCATCTTAACGAGAGGGTCGTCGGTGGGCGATGGAAGACCGGCTAGACTGTGGACCCATTTGACAGCGGCTGCCGTGGAATCGGTGGTAGACTTGTGCTTGCTTGGGAGCAGCGATGAGAAGTACAAGCAGAAATCGATGGGTCGAGCTGGGAAGACGGTAACTTCGGTTTTGGATGACGCCAAGGCTTCCCAACGGTGCCATGCTGAACTGTATGCTTTGGTAGTGGATGGAGCTTTCGCTGAGAGGAGTAGTGCAGGCAAGTGATGTCTGGCCAATAGTTGCATTTCCGGGTCGTCAATGCCGTGAGAAATTCTGTTCCAAATATCTGAAATACAACAAGAATAAAAACAGCACAAACAGGTGGAAAAACTGGAAAATCCAGTTGTTCTATTAAAAACCAAAACCAGGCACTAAGGGCCGCTTAAACTTGACACAAAGGTCAAAGTAGCGCAGCATAAGTTCGGCACCCAACACCGACAGTGGCCACGTAAAACCCCAAGTGTTGGACGAAGGTCGCGCACCTTTACTCCGAATGACACTGCGTACTGATGCCCAAGCGGGCGAGGGGGGTTCGGGAGAGCGAAATAAGGTTGCTCGACCGAGAATGAAGTTGAAAAGGCACCTTGGACACCAAGGAATTTGCGCGCTGCACCCGTCTTACGATAACGTAAAGAAAATTCTTCCGAAAGAAAAAATTATTTTCTTTACTATATCTTCATCATGTGAAGAGTAAAAAGAACAAAAGTACACAATTTTGGAGTACTATTGGTAGGAAGAGCCGCCTACCTCGCAGAGAACGCCAAAAAAGGGGGAAAAGAGAAGCGATATGGGAATATCAAAACAATTCCAAATTGTAATATACTACACAAAATGCATTAAGTATGCAATCAGACCAATTAAACGGAACGCAGTATCATGTATAACTGTATCAACAACGATAAACCATACGCAAACAGTACTCACGGGCGAGAGTCGCGATGAGGGCAAGTGCCTAGTCTTAACCATGTGTGTGGCGCTAATGAGGGATCAAAACGAATTGCTATGGAAGCGAATGATGGGGTTTGGCAAAACACTGAACTTGTACCCAAGGAAGACGGGACTGAATGATATATTAAACCATCTCCAATGACCTTCGACAAAACAACCGTAGCTTGTGTCGCCTGCATCGGAATAGATAGTCAAAGAAGGGACTAGCCCGCCTCGTATGGTAAAACCATTCAGGGACTGTAATTACGTGAGCCAGAATCTGTGTTCCGAAACGTCGTCAGCAGGGAGAACAAATGAATTGGACCAATAGTGACGCGACTCAATGGCACGGTAGGAATCCAGCACGGATGAAATGAACGTGAACATTTTGTGAATTTTTCTTTGAGGGACCTTAAAGCGAAAAGCGTCGGAGTTGATGGTAAGACCCAAGTACTGAATTGTTTTAGTGGGTGACCACACACTTTTGTTTTGCTAGGGACGAATCCGCTGCAGGTTATGAGGTTGCGCACTAAGGAAACGTTGGCTGAAGCTGATTCAAAGTCGGATGAGACAATGAGTCCGGCGTCGATGTACATAAAACGCGACGATACCGATTTGACGGCAATGGTGCACTATAGGCCCGTTTAATTTGGTGAATAAGTGACAGGCGCTACCGACTCAAGATCAAAGGAAAAGTAGTACTGATTGTAACCGAGTGATGGAGCAAGGTGGTTCAGATCTTCGTACTTGAAATTCTCTTTCCAAATTTACTTATTCGGGTGTCGTAGGTCAAGCACTAATAGCAACTTTTGTCCTTCTGCGACAGTCAAAGGAATGCAACAGTATGGGGTAACAGTGCATTGCATGATACAGTTCTTTGCGAGCAAATCCGCGATGGCCGTTTCCACAAATTGTGCATGAGATAGACTTGACTTATTGTTTTGCAAAACAGCAGGAGGAGTGACATAAAATGGAATCTTGTATCCATCTGAAAAAATTACTACACTTAAGTGTGTCTTGCCAAAATAAGAAGCGAGGTTTCAGCTTACCCTTTACACCGGATGGGACAGGAGTAGTTGATTCCTTCTCTTCCCAGTCACTATGCTGTGGTGGTATCAATGACTGAAGGTTGTGACCGGCGCTGAAGCTGTCGGAGGACCCGTAGAGAGGGGCAGTTGGAGCGGACATGTCCTACGATTCCGCACTGGAAACAGGACATATTGACGATAGGTGTACCGGCTGTAGGGACGAAACGAACTCGCAGCAGGGTAAGGACGTACAAGATTGCGAGCCTTGGTCTTGGACTTCTTAGCGGTTCGGATTTCTTGCTGGTCGCCATTTTCTCCGCCTTTCTGAGTCCTTTCTCATCATCCGAGTCGTCTGCTAAATTGTCGGTGACGTATTCTTTAACCGTGGCCAGACCTTGTAAAGAAACGATCGGCCAACTTGATCAGCTTCTGCCGCTGTTTGATTTCTGTGCTGGCTTGTTTGAGGGCCTCTCTGGCTGCGTTGACATCTCCAGCGTCTAACGATGCTAAGGCCGAGTCAATTAGGCTGGAGGGCTTTTATTCGTTGCGATACTGGTCCTTGTTACCGTCACTTTTAAAGTCTGGTGGACTGTCGGCGAGGGTACGCTGCCTCTTAAAGGCTGAATCTTCTTTATTGTCTATCGAGTTAGCCAGCGATATGATGGCCGATAGTATCTCTTGATTATCAAGATTAGGATTCATATTGCACGGATAAGACATTGCGAGATAAGGTTGCTCGACCGAGAATGAAGTTGAATAGGCAACTAGGCGTTTTTAAGAAACGGCTTCACAAAGAGTTACGTAACAAAGCGCGCAAGGAATTTGCACGCTGCACCTGTCTTACGATTACGAAAAGAAAAGTCACATTTAGTCTGCATTGGAAATGGGTCCAGATCGTTTGTTTCGGCATCTAATTATGCCAACCATATGAACTATTGGAAGACGACTCCGATTCGGAGTAGCGAAACAGTTATGATTTTCTTCTAGCAAAATATGACATAAATTCATAGATTTCAAACTATGGCAAAAAAAAAGCCCCGAATGTTAAATGACCCCAGACAAAGTTATGTCATGATAACGTCTTAAATGGCAATGTGATGTCACCTTTAAGTGTATATTTAAACATTTGTATGTAACAGACAACAAATACAGAATGTCATGATGACATCATCATGGTCATGAGGCGACATCGAGGGACATATTTTTAATCCTATCTCTGGAAAACAAGAACAACTTAATAAGTTATGGAGCTATATTTTCCTTCTTCCATATGCACGAACATAAACAAAATCAATCCCTATGCTCTGTTTATGGAACAGATCTAGTTCTGCTATTTATTATTCATGTGATTGGTTTTTGATTACAGGACTGAAACCTACTCTCAACTCACTTCCAGTTAAGTGGAATGATTACTAATTATGCTGAAATTATGTCTGTGTAGTACCAGCAGAAGTAGATATAGTTGTAGTTTCAACTTACCACAAACAGGACAGCACCTGTCCGGGCTTACTTCCAACAGTTTCCCCTATTAACACAAATAAAACAAATGTTCTTAAAACAAACAAATATGACTTACGTTTTAGATGCCGTTTGACTCCCAGTTCTATATGTTAAGGAGAATACACGAGAAAGTGTGGATTCGTAATTTAAGAATTCACACTTGCAGGTGTATTCTTCGACTTAAACCATTGCGTCAAAAGAAGTATTGGCATTAACAGTGAGTGGAGATGAAAAGACTAGGGATAAATGTTGCAACCTGCCGCCACTTCCGCGATTGTGTACAAAGTCTTATGGAGAGGTCAAGAAATTTTTTTTAAAGTATTTCCTAACAAAATTGGAGATATTTCTCAGTCCCAGATTCATGTCTTATTATCATTTTTGCAATGAATTCCCTTCATTGAGATGATATATGGAGAAAAAAAGTGGCGTTAGGTTGCAACATTTGTCCCGACTCCTTCCGTTGACAAATTGATAGTTCAGACGATGATTTCTTTCCGACTCGAAATAGGTTTTGCAGTGACGGCGAAGAATCTGACAGGGAAGATGCATTGATAATTTCGGAAGGGAATTTTCACGCAGACGGTCCTATTAATGCTCATTACAGAGAACAATTGTCTGACGTGTTCAAAGTGTGGATTCGTAATTCCGAATCCACACTTTACTAAAGATTCTTCGTTCCGAATCCACACTTTGTGACCAGCGTAACAGATTCGTAGTTCCGAATCCACACTTTTAACAATAGTGTGACGTCATAGCAATGGTTTTAAAAAAAATACATTGTCATCAACCGTGGGCATAATCATCTATGTTACTATTCGTATCTATTAAATAACTTGGTTTGTATAGACAATGCTACAGTTTTCAACGTTGGTACTGTTTTGAAAAGTTTTGAAAAGGTTTGAACCTGCTGAAATTTTTTGTAGGCCTAAATGTTCAAACAAGACAGATTGTGCTGCCTGCTATCGTACACTTACATTCGGACATGTTCGGTTACAGATTACATCCTCTGGTATAATATTTCCATCCTCTCCGCAAATAAGCACAGTACAAGGTCTACCAGTGGGTATGAATTCGCCTTTCTGTGTGATAGAAGTGGACAAAAACATTTATGTAAGTCAAATTTCCCAGACATTTAGGCATCTGATTTTTCCTTCTGAATGTTCCCGAGACAGGATTGTCGTTTTTACATTTAGCATTAACCCTACCCGCTTTTCTCCAAATGATGTTTGACCAACCGTGTGGGGTGCTGTGGTCCAGTGGTTACGTTGTTCAACTCATGTGCCGTAGTACATGGGTTCCAATCCTGTCCGTGGGAACATGGTGCTTGTGCTCTTGAGCAAGGCACTTTAGCATTATTGATTCGTCCTTCGGATGGGACGTGTGTTGTGAAATGCACGTTAAAGAACCCAGTAACACTTATCGCTAAGTGAAGGGGGTTTGCCCTGTTTTTTTCCGACAGTGGCTGCAACATGCGCCTCAGCCCCTTAATAAACCATAATGGGTCTCATATTTCTCATAACCTTTCTTTAATAATTGACATAATTTCCAGCGCCTTGAGTACCTAGTTGTTAGAAGATACGTGCGCAATATAGAGACTCCGGAATTATTATTATTATAACCAACCGTGTGTTAATGGGTCGTATGAAAAAAAAAATAGCATTTGCAATTACTACCAATTTTTATGTATTCACTTGCATCAAAAACGCATATGCTAAAATCTGAAAGTTTTTACTTTTTAGCTTTTGCTAGCGTATATTTCGTTTTGTATGAATAAAAAGGAGCACAAAATGCTTTAGATTTCAAGTATTTACTGGTTATCTGTCAAGACTGGGTTGGGGACCTTGATATATAAAGTAAATGCTTCTGTGCATATTTCAATACACAAAAAGCTTTGTATGTGGAATTTTGGTATGATTTTACCAGCTTTCAAATGTGTCTATAATTTTTTTTATGTAACAGTGACTTTCTCTACCAGGACACTGTGGAGCTTTACAATTTGCATGAATGGTGAAAGTATACTTTCTGTATTCTGCAGCTGGTGAAAATTGTCTTCATAATTTTTGCTGCAGTTGATCAAATTAACTACTTTATGTATCACATTGATTTGGACTGTTACCCTATGTATAAATCCTGTGCCAGTTCGTACACACAACAAAGATCCGATTAATGACAATCATTCATCCACGCACACAATCCAAGAGTAAAAAAGCATTTGCTACCTGTTGTCAAGTGAAAAGAAAAGTTGTATTCATACGAGATTCAAGCATTTGCTTTTTCCTTAACCCCCTGGCATGATTTACTAGTAACCATACCCCCCCCCCGGCAAATTCCAACACCATGGGAAACAACACACACATATTTCCGACTTTGATTCTGGAGGTGTACCAACCCAATGTAAAAGACTGTCAGTTTAGGGGTACTGTATCCAATCCTGACAGATTCCAACAAAAAATGCTGTTGAGTTGAGTTTTTAATTTTTGCTTAAACTTCTTAGCATTTGCAAGTTTGTATTCATACAACCCGCTGACTGACAAAAGTTAGCATGAGTGTTACTTGTATCATGACAAGTGTGGTTAGCACGTGGGAGAGAGGCGCGTTATGTGACAGCCCACGTGCCCAGTGGATGAGGCCTTATGGATCGGTCTATTATTACAGATGTCGTTTTTTTCTTCTTCCAAAATGGCCAGTGCATGAAGTGTACACGGAAACTGTGTAATGCTGAAACAATACGTTCAAAAGATATTACATCTTTTTATTAAAGGTTTTAACAAAAACTGGAATTCACTTACGTTATACTCCTGATCATTAAATTTGCAGACAGGTGGGGCTGCAAAATTGAGAAAAGGTACAAAGCACAATTATTATTTCATTGTTGTCAAGAGAAAATATTCATTCTGGACATGAAAATATTTATTCTGGACAAGAACCAAGTTCTGGATCTTATTCAGTGAGTTGAGAAGTGTTGCATTCAAATAAAATTAAAGGGGAAAAAAATCAAATAAAATGTGCATTACGTCCGTTCCCTGCTGTTGTTACAGTTACAGTTGTTCCACCTTCTGTGGTAGTTTCTGTGACAGTCACAGTTGTTCCTTCTGAGGTGGTCACTTTCTCAGTCGTAGTAGATTTCACTGTTGTTGGCCCTTAAATAACAATGAGTCAGAATCAATAGTTAAGCGCATATTTATTACAATCAAATGTATGAACAGCTGTCAAATTTGGCAAGTCAATTGACCTAGTATAAGATTTTACTGTTTCAACAATAAGAAGATGACATTATAGGTCACCTGCTAACAAACCATTCAGCTTTATTTATTTCAAGGATATATTCAATAATGATTTAGAATTGACTTAGACCTGTGGAAAAATAGGATTATAATACCACTTAAGAAACTCACCCTCTGTTGTCACCTTAGTGGTTTCTTTCACAGTAGTTGATGGGGCTTCGGTAGTTATTAATCCTAACGTGGATGGAAAAAAAAAAACAACATTACTCAAACTTGCCAACTAAATCAAATGGATTATGAGAAACTTAGGGGAGATACAACACCCTTACAGTGCAACTTAATACTGTTTAAGATTCAAAGTTTGGTACGAAATATTGAGAAGAGTTGAGGGTCAAACTGTGTACCTGTGGTGGGTGGTGCTTGAGTGGTAGTGACTACTGTTGTTGACTCCTCTGTTGTTGTTAACTCAGGAGATGTGGTGATCAACGTTGTGGTTGTCACTTCCTCGGTAGTACTTGGGGTCTCAGTGGTTGTTGGCACAGTGGTTCTTTCTTGAGTTGTTACGATGGTTGTAGTCGTTAATTCCTCTGTAGTAGAAATCACTGCCCGAAGAAATAAAGAGCAAACAAGAATGGGAGTAACAGACTTGCAAAACAATAAGCATCATTCCATCATTGGAATTTGAGAAACAGTAACAAAAGTAACACATATCAAAACAAGAAACCTTCTATTTTCTATATGTTTTGAATGGAAACATGAAATTGCATGTTTTTTTTAGTACTTCCAATATTGGAATTACCTTATTAAATGTTTATTTCTATTGTAATGCTTGTTCAGTACCAGTAGGTGATATAAATGGAAGGCATTTTGAAATGGCATTATTATTATTGTTATTACATATTTAACAATTGTTGACTGCTGCTATGTGGGATATGCTGTGTTTAACTCCTGAGGGGCGCCCCGAAGGGGTTAAAAACTATATATCCCACATCGCAGCAGTCAACAATTGTTTTGTTATATCGTGTATAAGTTGGACAAAAAAAATACTGCATGTGAGACTTGCGCAATCCCTCTGGCAATCCCGCTGGCAGTTTTGTAAAAACACAGTGTCCCTAATCAGGCCCGTATTAAGTGTTTCGTAGGCCCTAGGAACCAGTGTTCCGTAGGCCCTACTCCGATTTTTTTTTTTTATTTATTTATTTTTTTATTCTAGACGCTCTGTGGTGCGATCTGAGGCAATTTTTGACCACTTTTTTTTTTTTAGCACAAGATCATCATTTATACATCATTTTCAAGTTAGGGGTCACTGAATTAGTTATTCGGAGCTATAAAATCAAAATGTAGTCGATCTTTTTATTCGGGGACGAGAATAGTTGGGGAGGGGAACGACATGTCTCCCGTCCCCCATCGTTCGACGCCCATGAATGGCATTGTGCTTCAGAACGACAGAGTAGGGCGTATATATGTTTGCCTACATGCTGAAACAGCGTCAGTTGGTGAAATCGACAATTCTGAGAGAGACCCTAAAACCTTATAAAAACTTTTCTCTGTGTGTGAGTGGGTAGGCCTGTGGCACACTGCGGTATTTTCGTAGGCCCTCAATTTTTCGTAGGCCCTAGGCACAGTTGCCTACGTGATAATCCGGGCTGTCCTTAACCGAAATGAAAGATGTCAATAGGCTTCTTAAGACTATATCAACAGAACTATAGGTCTGATTGTGTTGTAACTTGGTATGTACCTACGTTGGGATGTGTAATACAGGTAACTATCAGTCTATAACTCGACTTGAACATACATTAACGAAATGTCGAAACAGCCATGTGTTTGTCCACAAACATAAGTAAATCTTGTTGTATTTTTACTGTTGTATGAGCGTTTTTTCCACCAACATTTTTTTTGTGCATTGCATGTGCACAAATATTTTTTTGTCTCTTGTATTTTGTAAGTTGGTCTTCAGGCCACAAGTTGAGAAAATAAACAATATAATGGGAACCAAACTCTATCCATTGATAAAAAGATCAAAGCCATTTACAGGTGGTAGTTTCCACTGTGGTCGTTTCGGTTGCTGTCGCCTCAGGGGTGGTGCTAACAACTGTGGTTACTTCCTTGGTTGTGGAGGGCTGAGCTGTGGTTGATGGCAAGGCAGTTGTTGACAGCCCAAGGGTAGTTGAAGGGGCCTCTGTGGTAGAGATACGTGTAGTGATCACTTCAGTGGTCGAAGAAACTTCTGCTTTGAAACATTTTTTTTACAAAGTGCAAAGATTTACCTGTCATGTAACTCTTTACATATATTTTGCAGCCATGTGTTACAAACATTCGACATCACAGAATTAACATAGCTTAATTAACTTGTCTTGGACACTGAGTAGATTTAAATTTTGGTGAGGATTTGCTTATCAATTCAGTTCCCAAAGGATGGAAGGATGACATGCAAATTAGCCATTATAAATTTCTGTCTTTGATTTCAATAAGATATGATCGTTATTCAACATACCAGTGGTAGATTCCTGTGTTGTCGCTATGGTCGTGGTTTCTTCCTCAGTTGTAGATTCAGGGGTAGTTGTAGAAACAACTATGGTGGTCTTTTTCTCAGTAGTTGTTGGGGCTGTAGAAGTTGAAGGGATTGTGGTGGCAATTTTAGAAGTCGTTTGGGTTGTTGTTTTTTCTGTTGTAGAAGCACCTTTAGTTGACGAGAATGCAAAAAGTATTGGTTATATAAATGATGTTTTAACCTCTTCAAATTTCTCAGGTTTTGAACATTTAAGTGCATTTTATTCCAGGATGCAACAAGCCCCTTGAATTGTTTTGGTTTGGGTATGGATATGCTGATTGGTAAAGTTAATCTTATCGATTCCTGGCACAAGACAGTAAGATAAAATCTGGTCCTTATTGCTTTACAGTAAGAAAAATATAAATGTAGCATTTTTAAGGGAACTTTGTGAAATTAAGCTTGAATAACTTTGACAATTTAAGTCTAAAATAAACATTACCTGTGGTTGACTTCACCGTTGTGGTCTGTGTTGTAGTTGACTCAGGTGTTGTGCTCACAACAGTTGTGGTGATTTCCTCAGTGGTGGATGGAGGAGCTGTGGTGGATGGAGCCTCAGTGGTGGATACACGGACTGTGGTTGTCTCAGTTGTTGTGGGTGCCGCTGCACAAAAGAGATACCAAGCATATAAACATATCAGTATTTAAATCAAACCAGCAAAGCCATGAAAAAACAACAAGATTAAACTGAACAGTTTCAAATTCAAGTACTTTGAACTAGATAGAGAAATAAACAGAAAAGAAAATGGGGATGCTTATGTTAAATGTCATTTATGCAGATCTAGTTGCCAAAGTTCGTCTGTCGGGGCCTAGTACATAACTGACATACAGATCCTTGTCATTTGATTGGTGGAACTTACATCACGCAACATTTGCTATTGCTCCCATTCCACGCCGGGGCTCAAAAAGTCCCATTCGCCATGTTCGCGCATGGGGAATGCGAAATACTATTCAGCAATTAGGATCATATATTCTTGTTCCATGACGCGGTATTTGTGTGCAAAATGCATGTTGATGTGCGCGTTCAACAATGCACGTAGCGGGTACTGTTCCAAAGAGCCAGTGCTATACAGAGTTGGGTTCTAACATTTTCATGATGGGGTGATTTGGAAGAGAGAAATAAAATTTCCACCAATTTTATATTGAAATAAAATTTCAAATATATCAAATGACAAGGATCTATATGCCAGTTAAATAAAACAAATATTGAGTGGCTTTAAATTGTGAAAGGGGAGGAAAATTTTTGCTCAGTAGATTTTACCCCCATTTCACTCTGAGCCACTCAATATTTGTATACTATTTAATACCTGTCGTGCCTGCCAATGTAGTTACCAACACAGTGGTCAACTCCTCTGTGGTTGTTTGCTGTGGTGTAGAAGAGGTCACAGCAATGGTGGTAAGTTCCGCAGTTGTCAACCCTGCGGTTGTGGTTACTTCTCGAGTCGTAGATGCTCTCGTGGTTTCCATCTCTGTAATAATTAGACAGATAGTGCTTCATTAAGTTCTCACCTCCCTTATAAATATAATTCTAATGATACCTCCTTTCCAATGGACACAACACCAATTAATATACACCATATTACTACAGTATAGGATACGGCTTGCCAAGGGGCAGTTAACCAGTTGGAGCTGGCTCTTTAATTGTTTAATTACAAAACACAGTAACACACTCCTCAAAACCCCCACTGGATTAAAAACCAGGGGTAAAACTCCATGAGCAAAAACTCTAGCTGCCAGCAAATAAAACATTTCTAACGTTTACATAAAGCTATATATATATATATTTTTTTTTTAAAGCTGAACCATTTAAAATTGCTCTAGACTGAACTGACGTCGCAAGCTATATCACCACACCATCGCCTCAGTTATACGCATTCTTTCCAATGTAACTTTGACACGCCCTTTCCAACCCTTACTTAAACACCGCCTCAGAATTTATCCCTCAAACGATTAGACAAATTTTGCCTGCTCTACTCCCTTTCCTTTGCATCAGGGAGGGGGGGAGGGGGTAGTCAAAGGAAAAAAAATACATGTGGTCCAGAAAGTCCTCAGCCATGTTGTTTTTTGTTTAATATTACCTGTTGTGGACTGAGCAGTTGTTCTCTCTTCCGTAGTTGATTCAGGAGTAGTGGTAACAACTGTTGTGTATACTTCTTCAGTGGTTGTTGGCTGGGCAGTGGTAGAGGGTTCCTTGGTGGTTACAACATGTGTGGTTGTCCTTTCAGTTGTGGTTGGTGGAACCTCTGTAGATATCAAAGATATAACAAGAAACTCATAATCAACTTGTGTATCCTCATTTTGGATTCAATTTGTTCATCAATTTCTGCTGATCTGTGCAAACTCTTCTATACTAGTAAGACCCGGACAAAGGCTCAACAATAACAGTTGATCGAAGTTAACTATAGGCCTACCCACCAGTTGTGGAGGCTTCTGTGGTGCTAACGACTGTTGTGACCTTCTCAGTGGTTGATACTTCTGGAGTGGTGCTTATCACAGTTGTGGTGGTAACCTCCTCAGTTGTTGATGGCACACCAGTTGTTGATGGTACTGTGGTGGTTCCGACTGTACTAACAATTGTTGTAGATTCTGTGGGTTGTACTTGTGATAAACAAAGGAAAGAATATGACCAACTTGCATAATAGAGGCTGGTAGTAAAGAAAGATGGCATCTTATGCACGACCCATTGCATCTTATGCTTCGCCCCATGTCAGCCCCATGTCAGTACGCCCCATTTCCACATCACCCCTTTACCGCTTCACCCCGCTGCCACTTCGTCCCACTTCACCCTATTGACACTTCACCCCATAGCTTTTCTAGTTTCAATTTAATTTTTGCAAATAAATTGTAAGATTTTTCAAATATTGGTTGAAACAAAATGTTTTCTGAGAGGGCTGTGCAAAAACGTGCTTGATGTCTTAAACGTTTGTTGTGAGTTTTAATTGATTAACATTCTTAGGCATATTGATATAAAATATGAAGCTGAAAGTGCAATTAATCTAATGTGAAATTTTCAGGAAAACAACAGAAAAATACTCAAAGAGGCCAAGTTAAAAATGCTGAAAATGTACCGAAAGGAGAAAGAGCCAAGTAAGAACCTTGTTACCAAAACAATCAGGCACCTGTTACGTGCCGCAGTTGCAGCACAATCAGCGTGGAAACGGTTCTGAAAATAACCCTGCACCAACACCTGACTGTACTCAGCTACTACAAAAAAGTGATGACATTACAACCTCAAACTCCAACATAAAGCTTTAAGTATTTATCTTTAGAACTCAAGATTTAAAAAAAAAACATTTCATGCGTAAAAATATTTCACATGTTTTCATGCGACTGTAACTTGTTTTTGATTTATTTATTTGTGGTTTAAGTTTTTAAACCTTAATGTCACTGTTTTTGACACTCAGTGTGCAGAATTGTATATATTTTTTATCATGGGGAATAATAAATTAATTGAAATGAATTGAAAAGGATTAAGCCTAGGACTCAAAAATTAAATGAAAAATGAAACACACAAAGCATGTGCTATGTATTGTAAAGCTTCACTTCCAAGATGATTTGAACTTCTAATTTTGAGGGAAGCTGCAAGGGGCAAAATGGTGATTTATGAAGTTGTGATGAGGCAAAATGGTATGAGGCACTTCCAAGTGGTAATGGGGCAAAGTTGCAATGAGGCGAAATGGTAATGATGTTGAACTGGTTGGAGGAAAAGTGACATGTGGTGAACTGGTATTGGGACGAAGTGACAGACACCCCTGTTAAGACAGGTCTGCTGGGGTAAAGACTTTTTTTAATTTGTAAACTAAAAACAAAACAAAAACAAAACGGTTTCAGAAAACCTAAGTTTAATTTGGGACTAAGTTGTGATATTTACAATTAATATTGTGTTTTTGACTTTCATCAATGTCATTTCATAAGCACTGTATACAGAGTGATGTCCAAGCGCTTGTGAGTTTACAAGCTTACTGGGGTGGGAATCGAGCTAGTGAACTCCTGCCTGCTTAGTTCTTAAGGCAAAGCATGCAAACTTCCTTAATATGTCTACACAAAGTCCAGTACGAATTGAAATAAAAAACTTCCCAACCCCGAAATTAAAATAGCCTTTTTTTCCTCTCTCAAAACATATATATATATTTGTTAAGCTCTGTAAATTGTCCATTTTGCAAAAGAAATGTCCAATGACCGAATTACTTGTGCCAAAGTTGGAATAATGTGCCAAAGTTGGAATAATGCTTAACCAATATAGACTCCATAAACACACATGAAACCTATGTCGCAACTTGTTACTTGCATAAAGGTATTTATCTACATGACCCCAGACTCAGTTTTTCTCACATTTTAACACATTGATATTATTTAACAGCCAAACAACATAAATTCCCTATTAGCTTTCTTATTATATTATCTCTTTAATAACTTGGATGTAATTTATGCTTTAATAAAGCAAATATGAATATAAAGTGCACACTATCCTAGCAGATGATGTAAGGATCGAGAATAACAAACAAGTATGTCATTTGATTCCAACTAAACAAGCCTTCTGGTATGTTGTGTATTGAACACGAGGCCAATTACCATTCTTACATATTGGAAAATAAAAGTACCTGTGGTTGACTTCACCGTTGTGGTCTGTGTTGTAGTTGACTCAGGTGTTGTGCTCACAACAGTTGTGGTGATTTCCTCAGTGGTGGATGGAGGAGCTGTGGTGGATGGAGCCTCAGTGGTGGATACACGGACTGTGGTTGTCTCAGTTGTTGTGGGTGCCGCTGCACGAAAAAGATACCAAGCATATAAACATATCATAGCCACTCACTGTTACCCTCAAGAGGCCTAACACTTTTAATGTTTACACAAAATATGCAATATATGACATGAATTCCATAAAAAATATCACATTACTTTTAACATCTCAAAGAAACTTACTTCTGTAACACACCCAAAAGTGACTTTTTAAAAACTGTTAAAAACAATAAATACATCAAGTAGAAGTGTATGCCAGTCGAAAACAGAACATACAGCTTTTCCCCTACTTGATTGAATTAAAAATATTTTGCTTTGTGTTGAAATTCAATAATTTGGTCCGTTCGAGATGGCATAAGTAGGAAAGCCACCACCATCAACTGAAAATTTTATGTCACGATGACATCATTTCAGATTTTCAATGTTTTTATCAATATCTACCTACCCACCAAGCTTCATAACGATCGGACATACCCTTATATGTGAATCAAAAATCACGGTTTTTTATGACGTCATGACGTCACACATTTTACGAAATTTTGTGTATCTATCTATGACTTAAACCTTTTACAAAAAGAATTTTGAATTTACCATGTTCCGTTGATGAGATATGACTAAAAGGTCCAAAATGGAATAATTCATATAAAATCACATGATGACGTCATAACGACGTCACTGCAATTTTTGTCTATAACACGTCCCGGAATACATGCATACCAAGTTTGAACCAAATCAGACTTGCGGTTCTGTAGATATAAGGCCTTAAATTATGCATTTTTAGGATGATGTCACATGACACGTGATAACGTCATGATGACGTCATGATGACGTCATGATGACGTCATGATTCGGCATACATCTTCAGATGGTGGTCTAAGTGTGTGCCAGGTTTGAAGTCGATTGGATTTGAAAAAAGTCAAAAAGTGCCCTGTAGAACAAAAACACGTGTTATCCTATGGGAAAAAAAGTGGAACAAAAAATAGAAAAAAAAACTAGAGTTGTATGTCTGTTTGCAAACAGAACACAGGGCTTTTTCGCATTTTACAAATATTTGTTTCGTTTGTCCTTTTCCAGTCACTTTTCAGAGTGCTTCATGCAGTTAAAGGTTGTTCAAAACGCTTAAAATAATTCCTAAAGTATAATTTTATCAAATGATGTCACTTGCCCTGCAATGATGTCATCCTTAAGACCCTTCTCAATGCCCATTTTGTCATTGTGATTTTGGTTTGAACCAAATTTAATGTCAATCCGATGAAAGAAAGTGTGCAACTTGTGGAAGCAGAATAAAATTAGAAATATCTAAAAAATTATAATAACCAAACGATGACGTCATCATGACGTCACTTTAAACTTTGTATACTAGTACCATTATTTACCTACCCACTAGGTTTCATGACAGTCAGACCTTTCCTTATATGTATTTTGAAAATTTGCATTTTTATGATGTCATAATGATGTCAGATATTTTTTTCAAAATTTTCTGCAAATACCTTTTACCTAACAGACCAAATACACAAAGAATTTTGAATTTTGCATGTTACGTTCATGAGATATGGCTAAAAGGTCAAAAACTTCTAATATTCATATAAAATCTCCGGATGACGTCATCATGGCATCACCTAATTGTTTTTTTGTTTACCTATAACACATCCCGGTCTAGCCACATACCAAGTTTCAACCCAATCAGACTTACAGTTCTGTAGACATAGGACTTCATAATATGCACGTAAATTTCAAGAATCAATAAAAAAAATTTGGTGATGACGTCATAATGACGCCATAGCCTTGGCATAATTTTTGTATGAGGGTCTTCTTTGGCTGTAACATTGATGACGATTCCAGATTGCCAAGTTATAGAAATGGTGGCTTGACAACGTGTACAAAGTCAATGGGCTAACACGTGTACAAAGTTAACGGGCTAAAAAAATCCCACTGCAGAAAAATTGCACCTTTAAATTTGTAATTTGCCTTTGAACTGAAACATTTTTATGAAATATTACTTGATATTCTGACCCTTAGGAATATGTTCAATCGAATGACAGCACGAAAAAAACTACGATTTCTCTTTCCTTCTCATAGTAATTCTCGGCTGAAGTTCAGAACTACTCAGTAAGATATCAGTGTTGTATTGGAAAAGACTTGTGGAAAATCCCACTGCAGAAAAACTGCACCTTTAAATACGTTACATAGGGCTTTTCGGCATCATGATTTTTTATTATACGTCCCTGACTATGTGCATGCATAAACATAAAATCTGTCAAAGTTAGCCGAAAATCGGCTAAAACGGTCACTGTGATGTGGACAGGATTTGACCTCGGCAACACAAGCTCTGCAGGCTGACCGACATACGATGTATGTGCGTAAAGTACGTGTTTACTATACCTCATACATATTCATGATCGAGAGCCGAACGTTCACAGGTCAATTCACCATCACGTGCCAGATGTTATTCTTGCTGTTTACCAAATGCGCGTGCGAGGATTCACGCACATTGTAAATACGCATGCGTAGTAGACTGTCGCAAGGGTTACCAGTGCGACAGTCTACTACGCATGCGCTTTACAGAGCAATCGAGGAACTGTCGCACGGGTGCAGTACGCACCCGCGAACATCGCACGGGAGAGATGCATGGGTTGCACGGTTCGCGTAAATGTTAATTTACAGAGCTCAATGATGCCGTACTGGAGAAAATGTATAGACCGTGTAAAGATGTCTCCTGTACAAAAGAAGTTGTACACATTGCAAACAACTGTATTTACAACTGTAGTAACTGTATTATATTGCAAACGAACCGAACTAGTAATTGAAGTTGAATCTTTTGGTGAGCTGTACAAGTTTCCCCAAATTTTGTTTTAGGTGCATAATAATAAAACAAAATTCGGCAACTGAATATGTATGAGGTATAGTAAAACAAATATAACATGGTTTATTTCGAGTGGACAGTCGATATTAGCTCCCCTCCGTATTGGAAGTTGACAAACTAGTTCCCTCGGCTTCGCCTCGGGAACTAGTTTGTCAACTTCCAATACCTCGGGGAGCGAATATCGACTGTCCACCCTCAAACCATGTTATATTTGTATAATGTACATATAGACGTTCTGTGCATGTTTTAGAGCAGAGCTATTGTCAACCTGAAGTTTTAAGCGTGCGCAGGGCATGTCCGAGTTCGCTTATTGCCTCGAAGCTTTGAAATGTTTTAGATCTACCCTTCAATCAACATTTAAAGTAAAAACTAATATAAAAACTTCCATGGTTGATTTTTCAGGAATTTTCAAAGGAAAAGGGGTCTTTTCATAATAACTTCCGGTCTGATGACGTCATACGCCTAAAACTTCGCGCACGACTTAAGTGGGTCAAGGTCATCATATACACCAATATTTAGGCGATTCCGACAAACTTCGCCACAGACATTTATTCAAAATACATTTTTGAAAATTTTCAACCTGTCGCTAGAGGGCGCTCGAAGATTGCATGACGTCATCGGTAGGTGATTTGAAGAATACTATCAGCCAAGAGACTAACACAGTGTTTTAGTTCATATCTATTACCACTTTTAAATAATAAGCCACTTCCGGTTTCGGCTTTTACGACCGGAAGCAAGGGTCACGTGATTGCACGCACACTGAATGAAATAAAGACTTCAACCTACTCTATCACTTGCCGGCAACAGAATGCTGCGGACGCATACGGTTGATTTATTATGCATTTTTAAATATTAAAAGTGTCACAATTTAATTGCTATCATGACGTCATCATCACACAATGTTGTTTGAATCAGGGTCTTTGCTTCGACAAAGAGTGGTGTAAATGAATTACTGGCAAAGAGTCGAAAATACCCTTTGAAAATCAACAATTTGTTTTTAAATTTCTGTGTACAAAGTCTATGGGCAAAATTAAATATTCAAAATTCTGTAATAAATTAGTCGATGAAGTCACCATGACGTCAATCTTCGGGACACATCTGTGCTATAGGGACTATGCTTATGCCAACTTTGAATGATGTCTGACAAAGATTAATACCCAAAGTGCTGCAGAGAAAAATCGTGTACAAAGTCTATGGGATTTTTGGCGCCAAAAAAAAAAAAAATCAGAACAAAAAGAAAGGCTTTTTCGCAAATTTTGCGAAAAAGCCAAAAAAAAATCAGAACAAAAAGAAAGGCTTTTTCGCAAATTTTGCGAAAAAGCCAAAAAACAAAAACAAGAGCTGTTTCGGTGTGTACACCAAAACAGCTAAATATTTTACCACACTCCCTACAATGGCACACCAATCAAGTAAAAGGTCTTGTTGTCCCCTCTTATTTGATACCACATTTGAGGTTGAGATGCTTGTAGTTCTGAAGATTAAATAAATTTTTCACGCAGAATTACCCAACTATTGCTATGTTCTTCAGGAAGCACGGATATCCGCCTAAATAGCCGTTTGATCGGTTTTTCTGCATACTGACTCGCACTGACCACAAGGTGACCATTGCTCCCAAATCCACTTAACTGTTTAAGTGCTACGGGTATGGGCTGAGCATGTACAGTAATTGACGAAAGAAATATTCAAATCTGGTGAAGAATATTGGCAAGAAAAAGCGTTTACCTGTTTCAATAAAATGACCCCTACTGACCATTAAGTGACCATTGGCCAAACTCTGTGAACAACCAGGCTTGGTTCAAATATAAAACTGACCAACATTGACATTTGTTGGGTACTGTGGGAAAAGAAGCATTTTGCATATTAACGAAAATGACCACTAGTGACCATGACTCAGGTCAAGAAAGATACTATCCAAATTTGGCTGGTATCGGCCACGATATTTGGCAGATATAGCAAAATGACCACTGAGTGACCACTACCTGAAATATACTAAAATGCTGCATGGGGTATGGGCTAAGCATGTAACTGACAAAAAATGTTCAATCAGGTGAAGAATTTTGGCAAAAAAGCATTCGACCTGTTTCAGTGAAATGACCTCTACTCACCATTAGGTGACCTTTGGCCAAATTCTGTGAACAACCCATATGAGGCTTGGTCCACAGA